AAGAAAGAAAAAGAAACATAAAGGCTTCTCTAAAGTGCAGTCGAAGGAAAGCTACAGCGAAACAATTTTCTGATCAGGTTCCACTTCTTAGAATTTGATGGCAGATGCAAGAAAGTAACGGATGACTCATAATAAGAATACCTAATATTGTACAAGAATTGCAAAATACCACGAAAGAATTGAGACTAGTCTCGAAGCATTATTTTGCTAAATAAAGAAATTATCTATATTTTCAAGATCGGCAGCGCAAAGCAGGATTGAGCAAAAGAGAAATTAAGATTAACGGAAGCTAACGGAGAATTGTTTAAAAATCGGATCGGATCCGAGTTCCATGATTAAAGTCGAACTTGAAAAAGAAGAGGTAGAGAAATACCAGGAGGTGAAGAACTTGATGAACTGAGCAATTGCGAAGGCGAGGAGAGCAGAAATGAGTGGGTAATTCGTAAACATGGTAGATGAAAAGGAAGAGGGCGTCCTGGAAGGAGGACCATTGATCAAGGAGCCATCATCCATCCCTCGATCGATCGGCGTCGTAGTCCAAAAACTTCCCAATTTTGAGAGAAATTTCTTGAGCTGGAGAAAGGAGACCGAATCGGAAGAAGAAGAAACAGAAGGAAGAATGAGCTGATTTGTTGTTATGCAGAGAAGTAGTTAGTAGATGGAGGAGGCAAAAAGGGGGAAATGGGGCACCTCCAATTTGGTGAATTCTTCCATGTTCTTATTATACCAACGGTTTTTCCTCTTTCTTTCTCTTACCCATTCCATCTCTCTCCAACTGAAATGCTCAATATTTATATGCCGCTTACTCGAATATTCTCTTTTTATCCAATTAACCTTTTTTTTTTTAGTGACATTAATATTTTCATTTAATATCAATCTTTTCAGAATATAGAAGAAGAAAAAACAATCCAAAACCTTTAAAAGGGATGATTAATAATTCATAATATAAAATCACTAGTGACTTATTTTTTGGTCAAGTGTTTTGATCTCAAATTATAATTATTGGACATTTTCAAATATTTTTCGCAAACAGAAACAGCAAAAGAAATAAAAATGGTATCAAAAACTACCAAAAGAAAACACTTCTTATTGTTTAAAAACAAATCTTAGGAGCTTACGAAATAGCTTTTATAATAGGCACTCTGAATGTTTCATGCCCTCAATATAAAATTAAAAATGGGATAAAATTGAAAATTTGAAGGAATAAAATTCTAATCCTGTCTCGCAAGAAAGTATTAAATCTAATAAGTTCCCAAACATACTATTAAATCTCTCAAACCTATAAAGATTCTATTATTTATCCATTCAAATTCTCCATAAAATAATAAAGAAACAAGCCTACCACGTAAATATTTCCTTATCCCAAAAAAGGTGGAACAACAAAACTTCCTCCATCAAAGCACAACAGTCCCGCTACGAACCCAAGACACCTCAAACAGCCCAAAAAAAACACCCAGTACTAACAAGGCCATGAAAGGTAGTCAAGATCCCTTCAAGCACTCTTGTAAAGCAAACACCATTGTAACCCCAAAAGAAAGAAGAGCGCCATTAAACATGATCCAAAGTGTTGAAGACAGGTGAAAAAAAAAAAGAACTACAGGGAAAAGGGAAAAAAGTGGTAGGACACCTATTTAGGATCACCAAAATTTGTACCATAATATACAAGTTCTGTAGTTTTACAGTACAAGTTGCATTATTCGTACGAAGTCAATGAATAAGGCAAATGGGCCTGAGCAGTCAATAAGTTTGTATAAATTACTCGGCAACTTGATGGATGGTAATGGAAACTCTCTGCACAAGAAAAAAACAGAGATTACTAGAAGTGATTAAGAAAGATGTATGAAAGTCTCTGTCAGTCGTTCTACCTTCTTCAAATCGATATTGTTTCTTCTACTCGGGACCATTAGGCTCTGTTAAGAACAAAATGGACCATCTGCTTCTAGATTGTTAATGGCAATAGCAGACTCATGATCACATTTTGTGTCAACTGCATAGCCTTTGGTTCTAGATGCTCAATAATAGTTTTGAGAAAGTTCCTGTCTGTTCATAACAAGCTAGGATGCAGCGTCCTTCCTGACAAAGTTTACGAGCTCTACCGCTGCTGCTTCTGTTACTGTCTGGAAATCGACATGTGTATACCTACCCCTGCCAATCCCAAATGCTTAAAATCAATAATGGTTTGCTTATCTTTTTGGCAAATTTTTTACTTTTCAATGTTGAAATACGGTGACAGGCTTTCTTCTTACAAGTTTAGACAAAATCAAATTTGACATGTGATTTAGTAGTGGCTCATCAGCTAAAGCATATACCAATGGCTAATTTTGTCCTTCACTCTCCAGAAAATTAAGTAATGCAAAATAATTTGATAGAAACTAAGTGAAATTATGGTACCAGAAATGAGTTCTAGACCAGATTGCTGAAGGATAGGCCGGGCTTCCAATGCCATGCATAATCCTTGCAACGGCTCTGGGAGTGAACTTAGCCTGTGAGTTGCTCTGCAAAAAGACCTGTTATAGAATAACGTAAAAAAGTTTTTTCAGCACAGCTGGTGAGCATTAACCCGTCGAAAATAAAATCGATAGTAAAGCCCTCACTTTTATATCTGCTCGCAGGAATGGGCTGCACATGAATAATACTAATGTTAGCATGATTATACCTCATGTGCAAACAGGAAATGGACATGAATGAGAATTAACAGTTACATTATTAAGAAAGAAAAATGATATTACTTAATTAGATAAGCATGGTGGTACTACCAATATTCAATATTGCATGAATTAACCGTTCATGTAATAATTATATATCAGCTCGTGGTTGTACGTACCTGCTCTGATTCATCTTATTTGGAATATCATAACTATCACCTTGCTGGAAATAAGAACAAATCTTCCCTTCCAAGCATGGTGTCTGCTGGTAGTTGAAGCATCCATGAGTCTTCTTTTCACATGAATTCACAGCCGAAGTCACTGCATCAAACATGGCGTCCAGTTTCCTAACCTGAAAATAAAATCAACCTCCTGACACATGCCGGCTTGATTTAAAGAAAAGCGTAATATATCCCCCCACTATGTCAACCTATTAGTGGACACTCACAAAGAGTAGATATCCTTGCTTGCATGTAAATTATGCGGTCTGAACAGCAGTATTTTAGCCTTAAGGTGTTAAACATTGGAAAGTTACAACAATATATCTCAATAAAACTTTTGGCGAATAAATACAAATTAACTGACGTAATGAAATGAGCCAAATATTTTGGGCTTTAATATAACTTTGCTGTGTAAGCTTTATACAGTTGAGTATATTGATTGAAAAAGAGGTGCAAGTGAACCAAATTGTGTGTAAAAGAAGGGTATATGAACGAAAAGGCTCTTCAATAACAAGTTTTTTATGGTATCATGACCATCTATTATATACTGGAATGGCAGTGTGATTTCTATACCGACTACAGAAACATGACAAACGTGATTTTGGATACTCGAGTTCTAACCTCCGAAATAATCACATTAGTAAATTAACAAATGCATAGTAGTGTCAGAATCAACCACCTTGCTAGTCTGGATCTCAGATAACCATTTTCTAAGATGTGCTGACAGAGAACAAAAATCTTCAGGAATTTTCAAAATTGTATAACAGTAGGCCAGATCCTTCATTTCGTATGTTACTTCCCCCTTCAACTAAAGAGTACAAGAAAGAAACTTATTATTACATGAAAGAAGTGGAGGAGAATAGAGATGAAGTTACAAAAGCAAAACAACTATAACACATTATTTGACTTCTAAATAACGTTTTAAATACCATGACACATCTCCAAGTTAAAGGATAAGTGAAACCAGAGCTGCATATCGCATCCATAGAATGTCAATGAACAATTAATCCAACCTTTCCAAATTATATTCATGCATGCGGCTACATTAAAAATAATTCAAAAAAAAGATGAGAATAAACGAGACCTGTTTAACATGCATTCACCATCCTCAAAACTGATAAATACTAATACATTGAGTAGCTGAGAGCAATTTTATTTTGAAATGTAAGGTTATATTGGAATAAAGCTCAAGCAATAACGGTTTGAAAATACAAACAACCCAAGTGCACTGGCCACGTTTTGTTAAAATGGACAAATAAAAAAGAGTTGATGAGAGGTGCTTTCCATTAAAAACCATCCGAACCTTAAGATTTTGCAAATGATTTGAGAGACTGGTAGCTGAAATCCCAATGCTATTGACCACCGTGATCATGTCAAAAACATGCTGCCCTTGCTTAGTTTCAGATCTGAAAGTTCCCAGATTCAATAGCTTGATTCAAAAAAGCATGTTTCTTCAAATGGTGCATAGTAGTATTAGATTGCTCGAGAACAAAACTAGGTACTCACTTCTTTAAAATTTCTGCAACAACGGTATCTTTCTCAGCAAGCATCGCTGGTGAAGTCTGCGAAAAACAAAGAACATGCAAAAACATTAAGCACTGAGAAATAAACCTATTCCTGACCCTTTTTCCAGAATATTGACTGCCACCATTACAAATTATTACTTAACCAGAGCAATTGCAGGGGCAATCTTGCCTGTCATTATTTATTATTTATTATTTATTTTCTGATAACTAGGAGTTGGAACTTTGCTCCCCTATACTCGGGGCACCTGCACCCGTCCAAAGGCCCAGACCTGGGAGACATCAAGGATTTTTGGTATTAAGCTCACTCAAAAGTTCGAACTTGAGACCTCTAACATACATTATATTTTTCGTGGTAAAAGAAGATGATTCAATATATGCTGATTACATGATATTGAACGTATGTTAGGAATGACACCATTAATTTAGTTAAAAGCTGAAAGTAATGAAGCAATCAAAATATCAATTAAGCGTTTTTAGTAAGAGAGATAAAAGAAATCGTTGAAGGCCAACCTTATGGAAATTCAAAATGCAAGTCACGTTTAACTGAGGAAGTAGACGCAAGTATTGTATTTCTCCCAGCTCCAAGTACGTTAGAATTGTAATCATCACCTGTCGGAGATAAAACCAAGTGAGAAAGAAACTTCACCTATAAATAACTTCCAGAGAAATTTTGTCCAGAGGTTCCATTTTCACTTAAAAATTCCAGCAGAAAAAGGATCTTCTTGGCTTCTATACATCAATATCATATTGCTCAATCAATTTTTGAAGCCATGAACATGTGGGAAGGATGTGTAGGGATGAAAAAGTCAGAAAAAATTACTCAACTTAAACAAACTATTTCCATTTATTAGCTTCAAGGAGTAAATACAGTCGGTAACAAATTTGCCATGGTTCTACTCCGTATCTTGATGTTTTGTTCTCAATTGTATAGTATTTCTCCAAATTGTCGTTCATGCTGTTGCATCTATTCTTCCTTACAGGTTTGTTATTGGAATTTTCTGTTCAGAAAAGATTTCAGTGATGCTAGACTTGCCTAATCCTTCATTTATAGACACGCACAGCCAACATACATTCATATGAAATTTTGGACTAGATCCCATTGCGATAATAACAGTTGAGTTTGTCGGCTAAATGAATTAAAGCAATACTAGGAATTCAAATAGTTGCAAAATAGTAGAAGAAAGTGACCTCTTCTTTTATATCAAATTTACGAGACGCAGGTTCTTTGACTATTGAACACACTTTTCCACACAAGTTCTTATCAGTGAATACTTCACTGAGAAATTTGTTTATATTGTATTCATCAACTCCATCACTGTTCATAAAAAATTTCAAGTCAGTTCCAGAATAATCTAATCCGAGTATAACTAGCAAAACAGGAGACAATTTATATTCACATGACCTGTGCATAAGACTTCGAAGCTTGAAGTATGTGTCATTATCAAGAAATAGATGACAGTATGATAATCTACCATCCCGACCAGCACGCCCTATCTCCTGCAAGAAATGCTTCATTTATCCATATAAAATATTCATCACATACATGTCAACTTGAAAAATGAACAATATTTAGAAGAAATTACTGACTTGAACATATTCCTCCAAGCTTTCCGGCATGCTATAATGGATTACCTGGAAAGATTTAACTTACACATTTTACTATTTAAATCTGATTGTTCATGTAGTACACATTCCAAAACCAATAAAAGCTAAATTTGATGCCGAGTACATTTATCTCATGAGTACAATGGGGTCCATATAAGTGGCTATAAATTATTATAACCCACAAAGATGTGGAATTGATGTATTCAAATTACTCCAAAATCGGATCACTCCTTATTTTATGTACAAATACAACCATGAAAAACCAAGATCATATGTTTTTTTATTTATGGCATTACTGACATGGAGCATCTTTAGAGAGATTAGTGGATAGGATATAGAAAGATGTTCATACTGCTATTTCATTGTTAGTTAACCACTTTAATATATCCGGAATATTGAGGGAGAAAACAATTTGAAAATGCTGGCTAAATTCTTACAGCGCCAACATCCCTCTTGTCAAGTCCCATGCCAAAAGCCACAGTTGCAATAACCTTTTAAAAAAAAAGTGACAGTCAATGTATTGCAAAAGGAAATAATTCTTTTGCATTTGTATGCATGCATACAAGCATATTTACGCACACACATATATAATATAAGAATACGATATCTCACCACTTTAATCTTGTTTGAACAAAAGTTCTCTTGTATGTGTTTACGATCTTTAGCTGGAAGACCGCTGTGATAACTCTAATTAGCAATATGAAACAACAAATCAGATTTACTTTTCAAAGGCCCAAAAAAACAGATAGTGGATATTTATTCATAATTAGCTGAGTTGCAGAAGTAACCTTTGCAGAGATGCCATTATCACACAAGTATCTGCTTATCAAATCAGTTTCGGACTGCAACACCAAAGTAGAGAAGCAATCATGGGTAACTAAAAGTTCAAAACTAATCTAGCCAATTAATGAAACTGAGAAATACTATCAGGTCACTCTGCACGATGAACAGACAAATTCAGCCAGGGGATTCAACGACCATTTCCCCTCCAAAAGATACTTAATTAAGTAGCAAGAGGACTGTTATGGCTACTGCACGATACAATGAACAGTTCAAAGATATTGAAAAAAATTTGCCCATTCAGGAACTCAAATAAATGGGAAAAGCCACAAGAATATTAGTTTGAGCGTTTCACTTCAAACTCACTCAAAAGACATGCTGTGTCTAGATACCTAGAGGCTGTGCTTATGTTGCATCCCAAATTCTATGTAGTTATAAAAATATATCATTGGCAGATAAATTTCAGAATAAACAAAGCATTTGAAACACTCAAGTACACAAACAAACCTGAAACTTGCAGTATATAATAATGCTCTGAACTTCAGTTATGGGAGAAGACTTGATTAGCATCAGTAGATCTTTCACCCTTATTTTCAACACATTCACCAAATTAAATTTAAACATTGAAAGGGTTAAAAGGATCCATATGAGAAAGATAAAAGGGTTGTGAAGGAGACAAATCAACTCTTAAGATTTAATACTTGCCTGTTTTTACTCATTGAAACTGACAACTGTAGATTTGTCCTCACAGTAGACTTGAGAATGAGATTGTCTGAATGAATTTCTAATGCGGTCATGATTGCTTGAATAGTTGCAGTATTTGCCGTTGCAGTCATTGCAAGAATGCAGTTAACGTTGAGTTGAGCACGAAGTAGAGATGCTCTAAGCCTCATATATGATGGTCGAAAATTGTGTGACCTGGTAAAATCAAATTGAATAAGTTAGATTAGACTAGTTCATTCATGCCATTGCATATACTGAAAGCCAGAGGCTTCGGAAATGAAATGTCTAAATAAGAAAATGGTGCTGGTCTAAACGAGGCTCAAACATTCTTGAAATGGGGAGTCAACTTGCCATTCAGATATGCAGTGTGCCTCATCCACCACAAGAAGTGATACCACTAAGCCGCCAGAAAATATTGACAGAAAATCTGTGTTCTGAAACCTTTCAGGTGAAACAAAAAGCACCTGAAAAATATATAAGAGCTTAACCACGTGATAAGTGATGACAAACTATACATCATCAAGTCCCAGTTGTTCTAATCCAAGGACAAAAGACGAGGAGTACTTGCAACATGTAATACAAGATAATGATTTAATGGATTCATCTAATGAAAATTACAAGAAAAAGTCGTGATAATGATTTGCATGAGAGAGAGAAAAGGATAAGAGTTTTTTCATTCATGTGGAGATACCTTCATCGTCCCTTGAATAAGCAGCCTCACTATTTCAGATACTTCTTCAGGTCTCTAAAAATACATAAGTGTTAAGTTGCACTCTTTAACATTTTGTCAACATACGAGTGCAAAAAAATGTTTAAAAAGCTTGATAGAGAAATAGAGCAACGACCACCTGACTGCTGCATAAGAAACCACCCTGAATTACAGGTGGCAATTGTTTTATCTGATCGATCATTAATGCCACCAAAGGACTGACAACCACGGTTATCCCAGGTAGAATCATTGCCGGTATTTGATAACAAATCGATTTACCAGCACCAGTGGGCAAAACAACCATCGTGGATTTCTTGGCCAGCACCATCTTGATTGCTTCCAACTGACCATCTTGGAAAGAATCATATCCATAAACTAACTTCAACAGCTGCACCAAGTTATCATTAGATGGGTCATTCCGCACGTTGGATATAGTCTCTTCAATGGTAATGGGATCAAATTTCGCTCGTCCATTGCCCTGCTTCTGCTTCTGTTGCGTTGTTTCTGTAACCAAACCATCTTCATCGCATAAACCAGCCGTCTCGAGGCAATCTTCAGTTTTTAATTTTGTCTTAGTCCTTCTATAGGGCCGGAAACTACCCCGTTGGCCGTAATTTCTCCCGCTGGTTTTCTTAACAAATTTCCGTTTCCTGCCATTCATGTTAAGTTTCACGAAGTTTCCTTCACCTCCACATTTGCGCACTTTGACTGGCGGAACAGGTACACGAGCTCCTATCAAGTTAGGATGTTTCCTAACGAACTTCACTGGATTCGCGGGACTAAATAATTCATCTTTAGTTCCCCAATCAGCCGTTGAACAACTGGCGATCTCAGTTTCAACATTGTTCTGCTGGCTCGGCTCCGATAAAGACCGATCATCCTCGGAAGTCTCAAGATTAAGACAGGATCTACGGAATTTCGAGAACGAAGAAGATTTTGAGAAGAAGCCGGCTGGAAGCATCTCCATTGATTCGGAGGACGAAATTGCACGAATCTGATCAGACGCCCGACGGATTTGAAACGGCAGTGTTGGAAGGGGAGTCCAATCTGGTGGAGGCGATTCATCCTTGGACGGTTTCGCATCGGGTGATGGGGACCGTTTAGCAACCCTGGGCCTGGAGGAGGATTTTGGGGGTTTCGATCTGACATGCGCGAGTGAAGAAGAGGCTTTACTGAACCTACGATTGGCATTGGAGGCTGAAGTGAGCGAAAGAGACGGCGGCGGCGGCGGATTTGGAGTTCTCGGAGGAGTGGCGGAGACGTGAGAGACGTCTGAGCCTGAATCGGAATCGGAATCCATATTGGCTAATGGCGACGGAAAATTGGAGGGAGAGCAACGGCTGATGAAGTGGCGATGGTTTTCGTTTTCCCGCCAAATCCCCTCAACTGGGCCGAATCCACCCATCATATTTTGTTTTTTCCAACTATGGCCTCTGATCTTATTCATAGGATTTGATTTTAAAATTTTCTATTTTAATTCTTCCCTTGTCTGTTAGTTTAAATAATTTTAAATTAACCATTTATTTAGTATTTTGAGTTTTTATTTTCCTATGATTTATGGTTTACAATTTCTTTTTCATAGGACTTTAGGAGGGCTCCTTCTTCTAATATTATGTTTCATAAATCACTTGAATTCGTGTATATCAAAATTAACATGATCTATTAATCTCACCATCATTCTAATTCATAATTCAATAAATGTCAGTCCTACCTAGACTCTCTTTATTTACCCTATGTATACTCTCAATACGATGATATCACAGTAAAAGAGTGCGTAATACTAGAAATTTTCTTGCTATTTCACAATAGGAAATCAAAGACATGTCAGTCAATATAAAAAATCTTGCACGATACTAAAAAGTCTAATCCACATTGGACTCGGATTCTTGAAATCTTTGGATAATTCTTCATGACGCAGATATATAAGACTGCCCCGACACCGGCCCAAGGGAGATCATACAGTAGCGTTGCTTTTGCTTTGAAGAAAGCCTGTTCTTTTCGTCCTGAAAATTGTTCGAATATCCCATCACCCATATAGCATAACTTGTACCCAGTTTTTGCTCCTCTGTCATTCGCAATTTCCATATCGATGGAGGCTCAAATTCTAGAGATCCCATTCCCATTATTGGCAGTATTCTTCTTAATGTTTCTATTTATGTATCTGTTTGGTTACTTGGTCGTGTTCCGGAGCTGGGGGCCCAAGCACAGGCTAGAAGCCGCGAGCAGCTTCATGTCACTCGCCCATGGCACTCCCGCTGCTGCCATGGCCATTCTCGCAGTTCTCCACGCCCCCAACGCCGGGGATTTTGCCGCTCTGAATACCAACTTCCAGGGCCTTGTTCTCGAATACAGTATAGCTTATTTCCTGGTGGATCTTCTTCACTATGTACTGTTTTATCCACGTGACTTGGTTTTCATCTGCCATCATTTGGCCGTTATTTATGTGTTCGTGACCTGCCATTACTTGGTGCATCATGGGGCCGTGCCAATTCTGGTGCTTCTGGTGCTGGCTGAGCTCACCAGTGGGTGTCACAACGCTTGGGGCCTCGCGGGTTACAGGAGAGCTGATGCACCCGCCGCCGCTAAGTTTCAGGACGCTCTGTCCCCATATTTCTATACCTATTACAGCACTCTCAGAGGGGGCCTGGCGCCTGTTTTTCTGCACAAGATGGGAATATTTTATGTTAGTGGTGCGGCTGAGAATGTGATTCCCAAGTGGGCATGGATTTCGTGGATGGGTGTAATTGCAACTGCTATATTGGTTAGTATATTGTGGATTGGAAACCACTGGGCTCTCTGGTTTCGCCAGAGAAGACATGGCAAAGTAGTGTGAATACATTTTAGCTTTGGACTAAAATCCATTTAGTTTAGAGTAGAGAAAGCAGTAGAGTAGGTGGATGCTTTTGTTTATGATAATCTTAAAAATTTCTACATGATGCTTATATGCAATTGATATACTTATAAACAAATTAGTTCATTGTTTGAAAAAAGTTACTGATATTTTGATCAGCTCTCGTTTCTAAGATATGGTACAGTGAGTGAATTTCAATACAATGGGTTTTCATATTTGAAAATAATGACGAAAGACAAACGCTCTGCTCTTCCGTTTTCATATGCTGACAACTGCAGCATTTATCTGGTCCGGCGCACCAAAGTAACTAAGCTCTACAAAAGTGCCCCCTCCTTCGCCCTTGGCCAGTCTTCCGGGATTCACACATACGCAGCTCGCTCGCTCTTCCTCTGATCCTCCTTCACCAAGGGATATAACCTGATACAGAATGAAGTCATTGAAGCTCTTAATAACATGTCCGTTTTATCTGCTTACGGGCAGAAATAAGAAGGTTAAACTCCAGTCATTGATCTAGAATGTATAACACGTGTAATAAAATTGCCACCCTTTTACTTTAATCATTGACTTAGTATTGACAATGAACAAATTAATGCAAGATAAGAAGACAAAACTGACAATACTACGTAAAATGTACAGTAATAAAATAAAGTGGACAGTCATTTACCTTCACGAAGTGTTTCATGTCGGATGGAAGAATAAGAATATCGGGTATTACAGAGATGTCAAGAGCTTCTGCGGCAAGTGAAAAGTCCAGTGGAACTCCTTCGGCTGGAGGGTATAGAGGATAAAAGCTGGTTTGCATTGCGAACAAGTGAAACAAGAGAACCGTAAGATAAAGAGAACACTATATTAATACGTTGGATATCCAACATTCTTGTGTCCAACATAAAACATGCCTTCGCTGGCGAAGTATATGACTTGCAAGTGTGCTCAGACGGTCATTGGTTGATCCCTTGGTTAGGTTTCTCGACAGTTCTTCTCCACTAAGGTGTCTGAGAATATCCGTCGTGCAGCAGGCTATCTTTACCTGAAACCATTATGGATGGAAATATACATGAGACGTCGGTTATGTATTCTTGAACTTTTACTATTATTGCGCCACTGCGTGCATGTAATAACTAAGAAAGCTCGGTAGTCTAGGTTTCAAACAATTAAGACGTCAATATTTGATTATATCCCTATAGCCAGCTAAAAGATGCTTAGCCAACAGACTTTGCACAAACCGAAACATGGTTTATTATATTTGCCTATATTTTAGAACTCTGTTTAAAACTAATAAAAGCAGATATCACGTGGCATTCCTATCAGTCTTTCTTTCCGATCCCTCCTCCCTCCAATTAAAAGATAACAAAAGGATAATAACCAAATCAACTGCAGAAGGGAATCCAGTTAGGAAATCAAAAGGATCTTCCATTCTCCCATTATGCATTGGATTGTTTTTACTTTGTCAGAATTCCAAAAGAGAAGGGCAAGAAGAGATAAACGAGGCGCCACGTCTATATTTGTTTTCTACAAAAGGGTAATAAAATACTATTAACTTTTTTTCCATTTTTCCTTTCTGATGAGAATTTAAAAACTATCTCATGGTATAAACTCAGCAAGTGCAGGTGCACGATACCCGGAACTAAATGTAATTATTCATTTATAAGAAATAGAATACTAATGGTCTGTTATTGAAATTTCTACTCCAGCACAGGCGCATACATCATGGACAGACTAACAGCGATGATGGTCTTAGTTGGATCAATCTTTTTTTGTTTTGCTTTGTTATCTGTTGGTGTTTATTTTTTCGAAAGGTTTTTTCGAAAGGATCTGTTGGTGTTTATTTACAATGTAGCATCCAGCTCTTGTTCTTTCCCATTTTTCTTTCTTTTCGTATTAAAAACAGCCAGCTACTAATTGAAAACCAGTGATGGGGAACTTCAAACTTCTAAGTTTCTGACATAGGAAAATCTTGATCAAAATAAGAAATTCGTAGAAAACTTGTTTGAAACACAAAGACGTATCCATGTTTTACCTGATTTGCTTCCAGAATGCCTGGGTTTGGGAGACAGGAAATCTGGACCAAAGCAACATAGTTTCAACAGTACGCATAACTCAAGATAATGAAGCTCCATAAAATTTAGAAGTAACTCAAAGTCTACGAATAAATTACCTGAAGTTTAAGTTCAGATGGAATGTCAAAAGCAGGCTGCAGAACAAGGTGATCTTTAATAATTTAATCATTTAAAAGCTGATAGATCTGCCTCAACAATTTATACCTGAGGGAAAACTTCGGCATGATTAGCATCCCTTACAGATGGCATCAACAGTACACGTGCATCAGGACCCATGTGTTCTGCATAATCTTGCACCTGAACAAGATGAAGCCAAAATTAAAAGAAAAAAAAAGGAACGTATAAATTATTTCAAAGTCAAGCACACCATGTTAGTTATTACCCTTCTGAGAATTTCAAAGTTAAAAAGTTCCTCCAAGCTCATCTCTACAATTCCTCTCTTGATATCAGAATGCTCAGAATCAACAAATGGCCCAAGCTAAAACAACATAAAACGTCAATGACAAGAACTTCTGACAACAATGACAGGTCATTTCATAAAAACAAAAGATCTGAATGAGCATTTACCAATATTAGTAGCTGAGGAAGCTTCCTTCTTGCATATGCTAATAACTCTGTCAACGGCTCAAACAATAAGTTGTCTGTTGTTGTATAGGGGCCTGATGCAATAATCTGTTTAAAAATATTTCAAGTGCGTATTAAACATGTTAATAGATCAGGAATATTAACCTGTTCTAATGTGCTACTAACTAGAGATATGATACAAGAGTTAGGATACATGATCCAACGATGACTGGTACAAAAGGTGACTGAAAAAACATCAGGAATTTACAAAAATACACACCATTGATAATTTTGACTGTGTAGAAGATTGATCCATTGGCTGGATATCATGGTTCAAAGCTCTCTTCTTTGCTGGAGGTAGAATGGGGTCAACAGTGGCAGACAAAGGAAAATAATCTACAAGTTTGGATGCAATCAAGCAGTGTCCACTAGGATTATGCCCTTCAATACCTACTACCTGCATGAATTCAATTTTTGTAGGTAGGTATGTATGTCGGATGATGATGCTATTAAAAGTAGTATTTACATTGCAGTCCGTACCTGGCCAGGAAAGATTGAAAACTGGTTTAAGTTTTGTAATTCTAGACGAACTCGCTGCCCCCCTGAATGCTCAAAACTAAATAAGAAAAAACAAATCTCGAAGTTTAGTAGATCATAGATGACATAACTACCAGTAATATAGTATTTGTATTGTTTACTTCCAAAATGGAAACAGTAGCGATAATAGAAAAGTAGTGCTCCTAAACAGCAGGAAAATAAACAATATATAATAATACCTGCATTGTAACAAGGTGGACTTATCGTTTAAGTGTCCTTCACCATCACAACAGATCATGCCTACTGCAAACATGCTTTTCTGACACGGGATCACACGTTTAGACTTGTGGTATCACCAAGCAAGCTAAGCATTTACTCAGAAAAAGTGTATTGTGATTTGCAGTCATAAAATTGTAGGATAAAAATTCAAACACGAACAGCTAGATGACCTCGATTGGATTTGTAGAATAAATCCTAAAACCTAAGCTACCCAGCTCTCAATAAAAATTTTACATGCACTTAAATTCAGAGAGAAATCGGGCAAGAGTGAAATAATGAAATTAAACTACCTGCGAAGCCGCTGTAGGGTCCACTGCTTCCTCATATTGCCCAGATGCAGAAAGAGCTTTGGCATACTTCATGATTCGGTTATCAAGAGCATTAGACTATAAAATCAGAAACTAAATTATTTTAGAACATATACTAAAGTCGTGATCGTGCCATTGAATCAAATTCAATGCTATGAAAAATAGTGAATACCCTATCTTCAACCTTGTCATGCATGAACCTGAAATTGTCTTCAAGTCCAGATCCTGATCCAAGGACTGTCAAGGAGCATCCTTGTAGGGGTTGAACCTTCTTGATGATTGCATCCTCATCATTCTCGCAATTATCTTCCTTTTCAGGAGTCTCGTTATCAGGCACGCCATTAATGCTGAACCTCACAACAAATTTTTCTCTTCTTTGGCCGAAGGGTGTCACATGCTTTGAAGGCTTCCCCGAAGAGAACAAGCCTTCATTTGTGTAAGGTGTTGAGTCAAATCGCTCCTTGTGGAGGCTCTGAGATTTCCCATTTGGAGTTTTAAGAATGTCTTCGTTTGTATCTTCATCCTCGTCATTCAAAATCCTGAACAGATTGTATTTTATTACTTTCTTACGGTAATACTTAGAGATATTTGTCAGCCGAATAGGGAACACGACTAAAATTTCAACAAGAGACAAGTACCAACTTAGTTATATTATATGTATTATTAATGAACAGTTATTATTTGGGTTTGATGGTGTCACTTGAAATCTTTCACTAAATTGTGAAAGAGTTATTTCATCAAGTACTGAAAAGATTTACAAACCTGGTACAAATAGGCAATTTACCGAACTTAAAGGTACCTAACAGAATGCCTCAAGACTTATGTCTTGCCTCTCGTGAGAAAGAGTCTCGAGGTCGCCTTAAACCTTTTAAAGCATTGCCACATATCGCCATACTAGTACGTCATACTTCATAAAATTGCTAAAGAAACCATGTGCGTATATTGACACCACAATTATAGGATAGTGAGCTATAGATGGTGAAAAGCAAAAGATCAATATCATTCTACGTTGTGTGGAATTTGTGCTTGCTTATTACGTAAAGCAGAAAAATAAGAAAATATTGAAAATAATCCATACATGTCCACATCTTTGCTCGAATAAATATGAAGATCCGGTTCCCCTTTAATGACTGCTTGTTTTTGCTCATTTTGTAAATGTTGTAAAAATCCATCCATCTGTGAAATCTGTACCACTGACCCATCTAATTGCCTGTCCAAGACATTCAATTAGCTTGTAACCGAGAAACAATTATCCTCGAACTCTTCAGAAATGGAAAAACATTCACAAAATAAAGACAAAACCCAGAATTCGAGCTTCGGAGCTAAATAATATCACAAAATCAAGTTGCTTTCTACTGCTGCCCTTGGGGGAAAAAAACAAAGGCCTCAGAAAAGTTCTAAGTGATAATTAGACAAGTAGATGTTAAATTGTAGGACCATCGGAGATATGAAAATAGTTCAGAAGAAGCAGTCACCTGTTGAGATAGTAAACTTCCCAGCTAGAAACTATATCCGAAGGCTTTAGATTGTAATTAACACAGAACGTGAGACCTAATGCAGAAGATGGAAGAATCGCCACGCCACGCCTCATTAGTATCCAACCGTTGACATAAAACAAACAAAAAAGACAAGCTGAGCTTACATTTCTTGAGAATCTCTTCCTCTTCATCGAACGTGAAACCACTCCTCTTGAACTCTGCTCCGATCTCTTCTTCCATGGCAGTGCCTCTAATCGCAGTATTTTAGGGTTTGAAAAGATCCCGCGGTTTCTCTTTTGAGTTGCCAGAAATTGGAGGGAAAAGAGAGCCTTCAGTAACTTATAGTAGTAGCGTAAGTCGGTTCGGTTTTTCATGAGAAAAAACGATCAATTCAGTTGTATTGTATATATAGTAAGACCGACCGAGTCGGTTCGCCTTCCCTCGACCCTACTGATCCATATGTCGAGTAATCCCATTTTTACCCTTCATAATGACGATAATGCTTTGGTTCAAATTACTGCTTTTTTTTTTCCGAACCCGACGACTTTCCTCTACCCGTATGCATTGATCGATCGGTTCTATCGATTTGTTGATTAAACCGACAGTTGAAAAAAAAAATAGGATTCACAAATCAAACCAAAAGAAAAAACATTAATGTAAAAAAAATTAAATATACTTTTTAGAATTTCAAACCACGATTTTTAAAGTTAAAAGATTAGTGAGCTTGCGCTGCAGCGGAGATTTGAGAATAGGGGGTGGGGGTGGGGGCGGCGTGAAGGTAGAACAAAAAATAAACCCTAATTATTTTATTAACTAAATTATAAAGTTAGAAAAAATGTAATTTCTTTTTATTAATACAGATTTGGTCGGTCGATGTTCACTGCCATCGATCGGTCCGTTCAATGTTTCGAATCCATATGCCCACCCCTATTTATAACTATTCGACACCATTCATAACTCTACTCTTTATAAATTTAGTAGTATAAACTAGAGTAGGGTAACGTGGGTATGTTTTATTAATTATACAATGAATATTAACAATAATAGAATAAATTGATTCATTTTTTATCCATTCCTAACTGAAATTTTAATAGTAAATAATTGCACTTTTAACTTATTTAAACTCGAATAAACAATATTTAATTTTTTACGAAAATGAATTAGAATCCATGATAATATGAGTTTTTTAGTCAAATAATAATATAATGAAATTAAATAAAACTAACATTGAATGACAAATAAACAGATAACACATAGCTCCAGCCTTCCATTTGAATAACAGCTTCCATTTCTCCAACGAGTGCATGTATAAAATACAATTCTTTGTTTTGAAATTATTGTAGCTGGCTTCCCTTGCATGTTTTGGTACTTAATTAATGTACATGCAGTGCACAACATTAGTGTCCTAGAAATAGAGCATGGGTGTGCTAAAAAAAGAGTACATTATTTGGATTATGGAATTATGAATATTGCAATGATTGGTTCATGAGAAAAACTTGTAATTCTTGGCCGAAAGCAAGAGTGTTCTCAGCCCGCCGATGGGCGAAAGGACCATCAACATCACTCCTAACACGATGCATATCTGAGACACAAAGTTAGAAGAAAAATACGTTAAAAAAGATGGAGATTGGGGAAAAGCAAATAATGGAGATAGGCTATGGTAAGGTTAATCAGAAGGTTTTATACCCAATTTATGATCCAAGATAAGCTGAATCTCTTGGGCTTGCAAATCGCCAACCACATGATGCAGGGGAGCTGCAATCATAGAGAAAAGTAAAAATTATAATTTAGTGTCAAAATTCAATAGGTATAAAATATTCATATAATCCTACTAGAATAGTGGGGAATCCGATAGGAATTCTAATTTCATCAATGTTATGGAAGGTTGGTGTCAAAATTGCTTTTGGGTCAGAAAAAAACATAAAAAAAAATAATAAAAATGCAAAAGCATAGAATTATTTTTTAAAATATAACGAATTATCAATTTTTTTTAATGATAAGAGAACCTATGTATCTTCCAATACTAAATACTTTATATATAGTCTTTATTTTCTCACTAGACCAAAAACGATCTTGGATGAACACCATTCACCCTGACATTGTTGCAAAGCATTCCTTTCAAGATTTTAATCATCTTAGTTTGTAACAATTTGAATTTATCGAGCTTTTAAGTTTATGGGTAATTTGCTTACATAGTATGTAGTGGGAGCAAAAGCAAGGCCTCCAAAGAAGCCAAGCAGGCCACCGAAGAACGGCACAGCTATGCCCACGAGCATGGTAAATGCTGCAATCAAAGAAGACCAATTAAGGAATTGCCTAAACTCAAACTCAAACTCAAAAAATTTCCCTAAAACGAAAAGATAACGTTGGAGTGTATTAAGAATGAATAAACCCAGTCGAATAAATTTAATTCATTTATATAGATCGGAATGGAATGAACTCACTCACCAACATATGTGGTTCTGGTGATGAAGAGAAGCCTGAAACTGGGCGTGAACTTCAACCTTTTGACCAGCACGGTCTCAATCATGTCAAACACAGGCATTGCATAAACTTGGTAGCTCCCAATCACATGGATCACCACGAACATATTGGCCGTAGCGATGAGCCACGCGGGTTTCTCTAAAGAAATCAGGACATTGTCTTCAACAGAGTTCCCGAACATCCAATACCCAATAAACGCCACAGGGAAATAGCAGAGAGCCACCACCAAGTAAGCCAAAACCACCCCTTTCCACATCGGCCCTTTCGACGGCCTCTCCGGCGTCGACGGAATCGTGGCTTGGATCTCCAGCACCACGTTATGCCCCGCGAACGCGAACGCCACTTCCCCGAGCCCGCTCAGGAAGTGGAAAACGGCGTCGGATCTGGTGTCCCCCATGGAGCCGTAGTCCACGTTGGGCTGCACCCCTTTCTCCAGCGACGCGACCCACGCGATTGTGGAGTAGCTCAGGGACATGACGGCGGCGGCGAGGGAGACGCCGGAGATGGAGTTGAAATTGGGGAGGTGGGACAGCACGAAATGGACGGACGCGAAGATTACGATGAAGTAAGAGGTTCTGATTTCTCTGCAGTTTGGGCAGACGGTGTCGTGGAATTTCTTCAGGGACTTGCCGCCGGTGACCATGTACACGATGTTGACGCCCACTTCCACGGTCAGCTGCTGCGGGACCACGATCCAGAGGCCCAATTTCTCGCCGAACGCGTACTGGCCCAGCTCGTGGTACCGGTCGAATCTCCTCCCCGGCACCATCTCGTGCATCTCCACCATCTACCACAGGGTGTACAGCGTTATGATCCACGACAGAACCATAATCACCGTGCCCGGTCCCCTGCATAGCCAAATTTATTTGAATTGAACTGAATTGAATTGAAATGGGGTTTTGAAAAGATTTGAAATTTTCGAATTTGAATTGGGGGTTTTGGAGAGCAGAGGAATGTGTAATGCACCATCCAAGCTCGGCCATGGCGTAAGGGAGGCTGAGAACGCCGGCGCCGACCATGGCGGTGACGTTGTGGAAAGCGGCGTACCACCATTTCGCATTTCTCGACGAAGTGATCGGAAGCCAGTCGTCGATTGCCTTCTGATCGGCAGCTGGTTCACCGTTCTGCGGCGGATCCTGATTAGTCATTTTTTTCCCAAATGGACTTTACAGCAAAATGCCAATGCGATCGATTATAATGTAATGAACAACAAAAGAAAGAGAGTAAGATGGGTGAGTTCGAGAGGACTCTAAGATCTAACTCCGGTCGTGTGGTGCCACAACAAAACGATGAGTTTTGTGTTGGTGAGTGGCGTGTAGTGTAGCTGCCATATTTAAAGGATCTGAACACACAATCTATAATTAGTGTGTTCTTAAACGTAGGGTCGACGAGGTGTGTATGGTCTGTCATTAGATTACCTTCCATGGGGGGGGGGGKGGGGGGGGCGTGGGCTGTCCTCTTTTGAATCTACCGAGAATCCGATTACTGAGGCTGTCTTGTTTGGTGTGGTAGTTGTTTGGTTACAAAAATCAGTAAATTGGGTGCCTAAACTGTCATGTTTTTCTGCCTAATTTAACCACGGGAACGTTTAGAAACCCAAGGTTTTAAATGTTGATTTCAATGGAAATATAGATGTTTTAATTTGTCGATAGAAGAAATATGGATAAAATATCAATGTCCATAGATATTTCTGAAAAAAAGATAAAAATAAAACATTTGTAAAAACTATTTAAATTAACAAAATAAGCCTTTCATCATTTTTAAATATTTATAATTATTAATACTAATATTATGTCAATATTAGTGAGATTTTATTGATATTTTATGTTTTGTCGATTTTATTTTGTAATATTATAAAAATATCGATTTACCTCTCATGTCAACGTCAAATACATGAAATTATCAATGAAAATGTCGATATGTGATATTTAATACTATGCTCCCAATTATGTTGTGGTTGTAATATTGAATCAATTTTCCATTTTTGTATTTTTAGAATCTAGAATTTAATTGGGTTAAATGATATTCCAACTATGGTTTTTAGAGTCAACTCCAGTCATACTTAGGTTGTTGATTTGAATTCTCATCGTGTTTGTAATGAAATATTACAAAAAAAAGAATAATAATAAAGAAAAATTCTATGTAACATTTAAAAAGGAAAAAAAATATATTACATAGATATAGTTAACCGGTTAAGACATCTATCTTTGATCATCGCTCCTTCACGAAGCGTTAAAGAAAAAAAAAAACAAATTTTATTACACAGACGTATAGCTTGGCTTTTAGAATCATGAGTTAAAATGGAAAATTTTACACAGTCACGTGATAGGTTTTAAGACCCAACTATATTTTTGATGGAATCCCCTTCCATGCCATACATCTAATTTAATGCATTTGTAAAAATAACAACCAGGTTGAATAATTAATTCATTTGTATCGAAATTTATACCGATTATGACAAAAGTTAAAATACAACAATAAAAAATCTATCACAAAAAGATTTATTTTTTCCCTTTTTGTAGTATAATATATAAAAGTAGAAATTCAAATTCGAGATGCATGTATCGTGTTCTGGTTAAGAAAAAAGTACAAGGATTACATTAATTATGATGATAAATATACAACTCTAGTTTATGTAATGGGAAAATTATGCAGATTCATATATAAAAGAAAATGATATTAAATGATTTTTGGGAGGCCAACTTGAGCATGGTTCAATAAGTTAAGACATATGTTTGATTAGAAGATCGTGAGCATGAGATTGTGAGTTCGAATTCCCTACCCAACATGTTATACTAAAAAAAATCAAGGTCAAAGCTTCTCAAGACCAGTTGTTTTAGAGTTATTGACAATTAATATCTCTATTTATTTTTCAGTTTTTTTTTTTTTTATACGAGAGAATGAGAGGGAAGCACTTTTTGAAATGTTTTATAAAATTAATAATTCCATTGTTTAAGAACTTAAAACCTTCTGGCTTAAAAAAAAAAAAAAAGGAGAGGGATCAAATACATTAACATCTAATAATGTGATCACAGAAATGAGTAATTCTACGTATTCAGTTACCAGAATGCATAGACCAGTTCATCCTTATAGGCGAAAAGACGTTAAAACCAACAACGTTGGCATCGAACAATCGGTATGATTGTTCCTTACTTCGGTAACCCAGATTCAATCCTCTCGAAAACTAATACTTATTGATTCAAAGGAAGTTTTAGAAAATAGAGGCATCTCATCCAACTGAATTCAAAATTAGACGACACCCCGTCAGATCGGACTTCGTATGATTGTTCTACCGTGTGCGCAAGTACAGTCATGCTTTTCCTACCTTCATGAGATTTGTTACTCATAACTCATTTGTTAATATTCCTATTTCTCGTTGTAAAAAAATGTTCTCAAAATTTGTGTAGAAATTTTAAAAGCAACAAGTTTCTTATTCTTGTTTTCAATTTTTTTTTAAATAGAGATAAAATGCATACATAAGATTTTGAACATTTATTAATAACAAGAAATAAGGAATAATTACCAAATATGTTTTCATTTCTTTTTTCAATAAAGAGAAAAAAGAAAAAAAAAACAAGAAAAATTATCCAAAAAATTATGTTTTTCTGGATGGAAAACGAGAAACAAAAATGTTACCAAAGAAACGCGGGAGAAGGTCACAATTACAATTTCTTCAGGATACCTTCAATCCTATCAGCAACTTCATCCATGTTCTTCTGCTTAACTTCATCCAAAAGCAGTTGACATGTAAGGTACCTTGGCTTTATATCCTGACCAATCATCTTCTCAAACAGCTGGTAAGCCCACTCACACTTATTTGCTCTACAAAGGCCATGAATCAGAAGGGAATATGTTGATATATCAAGACTTAGATGATGTTTATTCATCATCTCATCCAATAACTTACTCAGAATATACTCTGTTTTTCCAGTTCTAAAGCAGGATTTAAGTAATGGGTAATATGTCTGAACATCAGGTTTACAAACCCCTGAATTCTCCATCTCCTTAACCAGTTTCATAGCCTTTTCTTCTCGTGCACCATGACAGTACATCGAAATCATCGAATTGTAGGTTGATGTATTCGGTAAAACGCCCTTGCTTGGCATTTCTACTTTGAATACGTGAATAGCTTCCCCTACTTTGCCCGCTCTCCCTAGCGTATGGATCAAACAATTGTAAAAAAGCGTATCGGGTTCACACCCAGCAGATTTCATTCTCTCAGCAATTTGCAGAGCTTCCTCAAACTCTTCTGACTTTGACAGTGAGCACATGATGGTGGTGTAAGTGATGATATTTGCTGGACACCCTTGAGCGTCCATTTCATCAAGCAATGCATAAACCTTACTAAAGTTGAAACGACGACAATAAAATAGGATGATCGTTGAATAGCTAATGACACACGGCCGATAACCGTGCCCCTTCATCTCTTGTAGTGTCCAATGTGCCTCATCAACCCTTTCAACTTTACACCAACCATGGATAAAAATGTTGAATGTGTTGGCATTTGGGGAAATATGCAATTTGAGATCCAAATATATCTGTCGAGCTTGCTCGACCTTCTTCTCTTTGCACAGAGTATCAAGCAACACATTCATAGATTCGGTGTTCTTCTCCAACCCAAAACTTCCCAAATCATCAAATGTCCTTACAGCACCTTCCCATTGCCCAGCACCAGCAAACCGCCGCATCGCCTTAGCTACGGTATTAAGCGTCACGAGATGGGCTTCCTTCATTTCTTCTAGCATACCTCTCATCTTGACCATTTGCTTTGTTTTGCCCAATGTATCTATTACAATGTCATATAACTCTGGCGTGTGCTTGAATCCAGAGCGTGATTCTGCCCATCTGAAAACACCCAAGGCAGACTTCCAATCATCTTTGAATCGTTGGAGCAGCTTGTAAACAAGTTCATGGGAAAATTGTATGCTGTTACATGCTTGATCCTGCAAGAGAGATTGGAAAACTTCATCCTCACTGCATCCAACCCGAACTTTAGAAATTACCAAGTCAACATCAGAAAATTTCGCAGAAGACAGGGTATGGGAACAGCTTCGAAAGGATAGATGAAAATAGGCAAAGGGTATATGACGATCAAAAACACCACAAATGCTCTTAACAGTCTTCTGAACATGCAATGACATGAAGCACACCAGCTGAAGAAAAGCCAAAATATAACTCACCCCAGTGCCCCCAAAAGGGGAAAAGAAAACAAACAAACTTGGGTTTATTTTCTTCTTCCCGACTGATTGAGGAGAGACGAACTCAGCAAGAAGAAAAACCCTAGGGTTGAAAATCGCAATAGCCACGATTGATGATGATACACTAAAATCCGTGCATCTGGGGAGGTCGTAGTCCACTTTCAAGCAATTGATCGCCAAATGGAAGCGGTAGACAGGCGAATTAGGAATTCACGGAGGAAGAAAATAATAGTGGTAGAAAGTAAAAGTGTGAGCTTTTCGTCAATAAGTAAGAAAGCAAAGGAATTCTTGAAATAAGAGTTCCAACTGTTTTTACAGACTCAATTTCGAAGTAGTGAATTCAGAAACTAGGGTTTCCACTCAGAAAAAAAAAAGAAGCTTCGAGACTTCGCGGCGGAGTGTCGGCGAGGGAGAAGAGTAGGTTTCAGAGAATATCGCGCTCCGACTCCGACAAGGGCGAACCGCCGGAATAATCAAATGTAATTCTTATTTTTAATCGACATGTCGTTTTACAAGACGATCTAACAACGAACATAGCCAACGACAAATATCATTCAATTTTTTTTTCTTTTTTTTTTTTGTGACATTTTCCATTTTACTTGAAATATTTGTGATTAGGAAAAATATGATATCATTAGAAAAACATGTCGTAAAAAACACCTCTAATTCTCTTCAAAGTTCAAACCATGGCAAGTTTAAGTGAGGAGTATTTTTTATCCTAGCAACAGCATTTTCAGTCCTCCTAAGAGTTGGAACCATCTGTATTTTAAATCTTTTAGTTGACATTAATATTATTAACTATACGATGATCATGCGATTATCTATTAAATAAATATTTGAGATTCATATAATGTTTTAGGTATCCATGTAGATGAAAATGTTAAAGTCTCGTAGAAATATCAATGAAAATATCAATAAAATATAACTATCAGTGGATATTTTTGTAAAAGTTAGAGAAATTAAAAACTAACAAATAAACGCGAGTATAGTTCAACAACAATTAGCATATATTTCCAACTAAAAGGTTGTGAGTTTGATCCTCCACCCACATATTGTACTAAAAAAATTAACAAATAAACATTTTTCTATTTCTAAATAAGATAAAAATGATTAATATTAATGTTATCTATATATTAATGATATTTTGTTAATATTTTTCATTTTTTTTCATTTTTTTTAATATGATGGGAATATCGATTTATCCCTTATGTCAATGTCGAAACCCATGGATACGTCTGTATCAATGGACATGTCTACGTATCGACAAATAGATATATATATATCAACGGGTATTTATTAAATATCATAGATACGTAGTGGGAAAAAAACAAATAGCTACTCGATAAAATCTATAATTTAACTATTTTTTATAAAAATATTAACCGTCCAATATTACAACCAGGGTTCAAAATGTCGAGAGACACGTCGACATCGACAAAGGGGGGAAAATCGACTTTTCCCCCCATGTGGTGGACATGTCGAAATGTTGACTCAAATTTCGACATGTCTTTTTTTTTCCTCTTCTTCTTTAAGGTTATTTTATTTTCATTTTCTTCCTACTATGCCACTATACTCTATAATTTCTCACAACCTCGATCATTGTAATCTTAGTCTGTTCAATGAAACATTTGAATTTTAATACTGTATAAAGTATAACTAATAAGATTTGGAATTTACTTTATTGATAATTTCTAATCCAATCTAGTCCTTACTTAATGAAATGTTGACATATATAAAGATTGAAATAATCTTAGAATTTTTTAAAAATAAAATATTATTATATACAAATAGTGGTGAAATATGAAATAGAATAGGTAACTTAATTAATACCAAAAAGATGATCTTGGAGGATCTAATACACCATCTTGATAACTTTGATATAAATTACAATAGTTCTCCCCGGTCATCTTAGACCGAAACTTAAATGTGTAAATTCAAATTTGAAAAGAGGAGTTGGTAAAAAGTAAACAGGTACAGAGTTAATTAGAATTTAGAAATGTGTTTGAAACTAAGTCGGTAATTATTTCATTTCCAAGTGAATCCTATTATGAAAAACACTAAAAAATAGTCAAAAGTTTACTTTACATATTCAAATAATTTCCATCAATATTCATTAAAGGAAAAAATCTTTTTTCGATGTCATTTTCATAAGTAAAATGGTCATATTCTTACATTTAATGATTAAAAGTGATTAATTAGGCTAATTAAGCTACAATTCAAGTTTTATTTGCTAATTCAAAAAATTTCCATGAATTTCCACAATTTCCATTATTTTTTTTCGAAATATCCATCGACATCGACATGTTCGTAAAATCGGGACCTCGATATTTTCATCGACATCGACATTTTGAACACAAAATATAGACATTTTCAATTGGGCTTTCTATTTCAAAATTGTTTTCTTTTTACTTTCTCCCTCTCTCATCTTGGTTTGTACCAGAGCATGGGAAAGATCAAGTAATATATAGCATGAGCTGCTCTGTGGCATAAAATTTTATTTTATGTTCAAAGAACTTAAGGGAGTGGAGATTTAAATCTGTGATATTTTGATCGATAATATATGTTTTGACCAGTTAAGTTATACTTTGATTGATGGCATAAAACTCTTATTGAAGTGGTCCTACGTAACACATTTGAATTACATTTAAAAAAGAGAATACTATGGTTAACACTAAAATCATTAGTAATGCCTTGTTTCTTCTATCTTATCAGCCTATAGTTAGAAAGCTTGTCAATGGTATTTGCTTGGATCTGCTATTGCTTCAGAGGATGAGTCTTACTTTACAGGACCTTCACCCTATGCAGTTAGAGTTAGCAGCAGTGGGCAATTGCTATCACTTGGCATCACCACCAAATATTTCCCTCCCATCTTTACACTTGATCAAAGTCATGAAGTTTGCATAGGGTTTGCATTCGTTTGTGAGTGATTAGATGATCTCCTCAAGAACTCTGCCACTAACTTCGAAAATGTAGAAGAACTGTTCCCGAGCAATCGAGACGGTGAATCGTACTCGATGACTTTGCCTATAAAAATGAAGCTCATATGAATTAGAACTTAGAAGGATATTATTACTACTCAAGTTACCAACTTTAGTTTTTATAATATACTCCTCAACTCCATGCATAAAGTCAGTTAGAATCCAGTTTTCAGAAGAAAGTTTTAAAGCAATGTCAAGAGTTGGCTTGCCTTCGTCAAGAACCAAAACCAAATCATTGTCGATAACTGTCGGTATCCGATGAGCTATGGTAATAACTGTACATCCATTTGTCTCCTCTCTTATTGTTTCCTGAATTATATTCTCTGTTGCTGTATCAATGGAAGCCGTTGCCTCATCCAACACAAGAATCCTACGCTTCTTGAGCAGCACCCTGGCCAAACAAACTAGTTGCCTCTGTCCAACACTCCAATTCTCTCCATCTTCAGCAACTGCAGCATTTATAGGCCAAGTACAAAAAAACATTTTTGAGTAGAGAATAAAATAAACTGGATAAGAACTTCAGAAAAACAGGATATTCCATCAACCTGGTGCTTCGAGAATCATTTGCTCCGTTCTGATGATCTCGGCAAACCGACACTTGTTGAGGACCTGAAAAATCAAGTTAAGTTTCAAGGAGTGTGTTAACTTTTCAATCTCGATGAAGAAGGCGCTCGTAATCTCACCTCCCAAATTTCTTGATCAGTATGTTGTTGTAAAGGGTCTAAGTTAGTTCTCATGGTTCCTTGGAACAATGTCGGGTCTTGTGGAATTATACCCAACCTGGACCTCAGATCATGTAGACCAATTTTGCAAATGTCAACTCCATCAATGAGAATCCTTCCTGCAGAGGGCTCTACCATCCTAAAAAGTGCTTGAATTAAGGTGGACTTTCCACTTCCTGTCCTGCCCACAACCCCAATTTTCTTCTTTTGTGGAAAGGTACAAGTGATCCCTTTGAGAATCACTGGAAGTTTAGGACTATATTGGACATGAAGGTTCTCAAGTTCTATCCTTCCCTCCTCTGGCCATTTTGGCATTGGCCTACAACCCTCGATCACCGGTGGTGCCTCAGAAGCAATGTTAGTAAACTGAAGAATTCTCTCAACAGATATCATTTTGTTCTCAACGTTGCATAGATTCCATATTACCCAAGCCTGAAGCACATTCATGTTCAAGCCATATGTGGCTGCTAATCCTGCTAAGCCTGTTGTAAGATAAACTAGTTGCTTAGGTGATGATGGAAATAATAGAATGTTAGAATGAAATAACTGATCAAGTGAAAGTTTTGGATGGCAACAACATCAACGGAGATAAATAATGTTAGGAGCGCTTACTGGGATCTATTGCTGACCTAGGAAGGGACACCAAGATGACGAGGGCAAGGAAGAAGACAATGTCGAAAAGAAAATTGATCCGTAGACACAACCATTCCATTGAAGTTGCATTGTGAAAAACCACACGAGAATAATCATCAACTAGATTTAGTATTTTCGTCAAAAAACGCTCCTCCTGGTTGAAACAACGGATAATCGTTGCACCTACTACCGTTTCAGAAAAGTGATGAAGAATTGGAGCTTTTCGAATCCCAACCATTCTAGCCAGTTCTCTAGCAGTACTAATGTAATATCCCTGCAAATGAAATTGAAAAATTTTAAGGAATTGAAGCTGATGAATTAATGAACAAAATCCTAGAACCACTTGCTGTTGGAAACCATATTTGAGAAACTGGAAGTATATGATAAAGGTTGCAGGACTAAAGAACTAACATATTCAGCATAGAATTCAAAGTACATCATATTGATGTGATGCTGCAGAATAGCAAATTCAAAGAACAATAGCTTTATAATTTTAGTGCAATAATGAAAAGCATATTGTAAACCAGAAGTGAGATATATGTTCTTGCCTGATACCATATGGAGATAGCAAGGACGACGAGAAAGAGGGGAAAAACTTGCCATGCAACCTTGGACATGAGGATGATGATACTTAACAGTTGAATTAGTGCAAAAGCCAGTCCTCCTAATCTATAAGGTATATCTGTATCTAAAGTGCTTTGATCAGTAGATGACTGCATCATAGAAGAAGATGAAAAAAAGGATTAAAATTGTTGACTGACACAATGAAAAAATTCAATAAAGGAGATGATAATGAACACAATAGTAAGGTACTAACCCTGTTGAGGATTTGGCTTGAAGGTTTGGCATCAAAAAATGAAATAGGTGAGGCAAAAACCGCTGTCACCATTCCAAGAAACATTCGCTGCGCAGTCTCGATAGCAATGGTTGCCATCACAACGGCCCTACCTAATATGAAGATGGAGCTCCCCCCTGACATCAAGATAAAAATCCCTATCAGCTGCTCTTTGCTGACCTTGCCTTCTTCTTCTGTTGCCCAAGCAATCCAATAATTGCTTCCCATCTGTAGGATCTGAAACAAAATTTGGCAAAGAAGGATGATAGGAACAAGAGCCCCTTTATAAGCAGACGTGATAAAGATTGAGTAGACACTCCATTTTACACGGCCAGTTTGGGTTTCCTCTTCTTGAGTTCTCACTGAAAGGGTTCCATTTCCTAGGGACTCAGAAAATTTTTCATCTAGAGCTTCTATCTGATGTATTTGACAAGGTCTTTCATGATGGAGTTTATCTTCTTTGAATGGCTTAACTCCATTTAGTGATCTTTTGTGTGCTGCAATGTGCCTTGAAAGTTCACCGTTTGGATTTGATATTAATTCTGCGTACTTTCCTGATTGAACAATATGACCATTTTTCATCACCTGCAAGTAAAAGCAGTCAAATGTGACACGAGGCAGAAAGGGTTAGTACTTTGTGATACTCCAAGGAAAGCAACAAAAAGTTCAATTACTTACCAGAACGAGGTCCGCAGCTTCTATGAATTCCAAGTGATGAGTAGCATATATGACAGTTTTACTAGACAAAAGTTGCAAAAGACATCTCTGCATTATCATTAAAGTTATGTGTGAAAATATTTTATATGGAGCATGATTACCATTCTACTGTTTCATTAAAGAAAAGACATGTAAAACTGTAAAAGAACATAAAAAGAATAAGACAACAATAAAAACAGAGAGATGATGCTTGCCTTGAACAAATGTGTTCCTGTACATGCGTCCACAGCACTAAAAGGATCGTCAAGGAAGTAAACATCTGCATCACTATAGACCGCCCTTGCCAATTGAATCCTCTGCTTTTGTCCTCCACTTAAGTTCATCCCTCTCTCTCCCAATAAAGTAAAATCACCATCCAACCATAGCTTGATATCCTGATTCAAAGCACAAGCTTCTAAAACATCTTCATAAAGATGTGTGTCCATTTCCTTCCCAAACAACACATTCTCTCTAACGGTGCCTGATTGGATCCAAGCACTTTGAGGAACATAAGCTTTAGTTCCATGTACCTTCATTTGTGTTCCCGAAATCTGTGGGATCTCGCCTAATATACTACAAAGTAGGCTTGATTTTCCTGAGCCAACTGACCCACAAACTGCAACCTTGTAACCTTTTGGTATCTGCATCTTCTCTACAACTTTTATCGTTGGTTTCTTAACATTTAGATCATTGGCTTCCCAAGAATAATCCCCCACCTCAATTCCAATCATGATCTCAGATCCACTGGAAGGAGGATAATAGATCTGCTTCCTTTGATCTTCTTCTCGAATGAACTCTTGGATACGATCAAGGGAAACTTTTGTTTGAGCAATCATGGAAATTAGCTCTGGTAGGTTATATATAGGTTCTTGTAGGATCCGAAAAGTAGCTATGGCTGATAGAACTGTACCTGCTGTTAGAGGAATTTTCATTATAATGCAGGCACCAAAGGTAACTACTGAAACTAAAGTTGGTGAAACCCAAAAGAGAAATGCTATAACTGAGCATGTATAGAGGTATCTCTTCAACCACCTTCTTTCTTCTTCCCTAAGTTGTAAGACCTTCTTAAAAAATGTCTGTTCCCAAGAATGCAGTTTCAAGACTCTCATGTTCTTAAGAGTTTCTGATGTCAATTTGATTCGAGAGTCTTTCGCATCCATTATATTTGAGTGTAGACTTTCTTGAACATTGGCCAAAGGTGTGTTGCTCACCATTATAAATATTGTGGCTAAAAGAGCAGTAATGGAAGGAGCAGCACCAAGGTTCCTATAAAGGATGATCAGGGCTAGAACTATTTGAACAGGAAGCAACCAAATCTTATGAATATACCAGGAGAAGTCTCCAACTCTTTCAACGTCCACATTGATTAAATTTATGATTTTACCATTACTTGGACCAGCAGCATTAATAGAAATAGACTTCTTGTAAATCATCACTGTAAGAGCTGCCCTTACCTGTATACCGACACGGTGAGTGCCGAAATACCACTGTCTTTGAGTAAGAGACTCCAATGTCTTTGCAAAGAAGAAGATGAAGGCAAGAATCAACCCATCACGGATGCTTGAGTTATCACCCTTTCCCAACAGATAATTCACAAAGTTGGTGATTAGAGAAGGCCCCATAAAGGATGCTAACGTGTTGAATCCTAATAAAAGTTTTTAACAAAGAGATTAGAGAAGAAAAGGATTTAACATAGAAGAATTCAAGTAGTGTAAGGAAGGAGAGGTACCAGCAAAAATTGCAGTTAAGACCAAGGATTTCCATGTGGCTAGAACTATAGCTTTAGGCAAGGAAGAAGACTCAATTTTCTTTCTCAGAAGCGATTCTTCCAACAATGAGGAAGCATATTCTGCCGTTTCAGATTGAGGTACACAAGGAACATGAGCTAATTCAAGTTTCTGACTCCTTCCTCTTTTAAAGAGCGGGTTCAGCCACCGGAATGTAAGTTGACTCCAGAATCCAGGACTGATGAAACCACCATCATCTTCAAAAGAAGAAGCATTCTCTTTTTGGAGCAATGATTCCTCAAAATCATTGTGTTTCTTGGAATAGTTAACAGTTAGTCCAGTGCAACAGATTATGAAAGACAAAGTGAAGGAAGCAAAATCTACAATAGTGGCTTTTGGAATAAAATGAGGGAACTCCATAGCTTTCAAGTGGGCTAGCAGGTAAATAATCGAACAACCAAAACCATAAAAACAGGAGAAAACCCACCACACCATTAGAATCAACGGCCATCTTTTGCCTCGATACATTCTATTTCTCCAGTAGAATGCAATCCCAGCGGCTAAAATCCACGTCATGGCAGAGATGGCTGATTCCCAGCAAAAGATTCTGCGATTCCAGTACTCGTAAGCAGCAAAACCCCAGTACAAAAATGGAACAATGGCATTACAGAAGATTGTAATACTGATTAGCCATTTAAACTCTCGAAATGCTCTGTTTCTCAAGTCATGGGATCCGCTCTCTCCTACCTCCTCTGTCCACTTGTGAAGAAAAACCCAACCCATCGACAATGCAAGAATAAACGTCGCATTAACGATTGCAGAAGTAATATCCATGGAAGCTGCTTCTAGAGCTCGAAAATACATGGTTTCCAACTTATCCATGCATTGAGAAGAAAACGAATAACTAGAGATCGCAATCTCAGTACGCAGAGACAGACCCCAGTAAATAAGCAGAATAACGATTTGAGAAAGCGAAATGTGGATTGAAATAGAAACAATAGATGGGGATAAATCTATGGAGTTTCAGAAGAAGAGAGAAATAGAACACTCCCGTGAAAATGGAAGCACGTGGGTCTTTCAAGAATGGCGATAAACTGAATAAAAATTGGATGAAAACCCGGTAGATTTATGGCAGTGAGCAGTGGGCATGTTCTTTATATATGGAATCGTATAAAGAAATGGCTGATTTCTGTCCCTTTTCAGACTGATCTTTGTCGTCCCCTCCCCCTGCTCTCTATCCCTTTCAGATTTTCCATTTTCACTGTAACAAGTCGCTAAATAAAAAAAAATATATATATATTTTTTTTATTAAAAAATTTCTCCTTCTAGACTGCAGAGAGAGAAACATTCGAGATGAATTTGTAAATTGTAATTCCAATGATGTCCTCATTATGACTCCATATCAAAATTATTCAATATCCAAAATCAATTTCATACTCGTTGTGCAAATATTTATTTTCATACGTACTCAAAACGGTAATATATTTATTTATTTTCATATTAAGATGTTCTACGTATAAGGAATGTAATTGGACCATTTGATGTACGTTATGCCATCATCAAATTATTATTCACATGGAATAAATACGTAGTTTTTTTTTTCCTTTTAACAAATTTTTCTGTAATGTAAATGGAAATCATAGTTGGACGAAAATGATTAGGAAAAAATTTCAATATATTCCTATATACTATTGGCTATTAATCCTCTCAAAATCTATTTATTGTTTTTTTCTTTTAAAGACATAAAATCATACAATAAATGGTGTGACTAAATTTTATTCACATATTAAATTTATTGGGTTAATTTCAACTGTTTAATTTTATCCAAATTAATTGTTAAATGGTTTATGAATCAATTAAATCAAACTATAAAATATCCAAAATCAAGAATGCTAAAATTTAGCCACAAATAACATACATAATAATACTCTTTGTGGCTAGGCTTAACATTCACAAAATAGCCTAAAATGTTGTAATTAATTGGAGGCATGAATTCATCATTTATTCAAATTAAAGGTTAAAATTTAAAATTTAAATTAAAGTTCATATACGGAACTAAATACACAAGTAAAAGTAAAAGTGAATAAATGAAATTTTTTTTTTCAGAAACTTTATCTGTAAGGTACTCCAATTCGGTGATGCCACGTGGATTGACAAAAAAAGTACGCGAGAATAAATGCGGGTCGATAGAAATAGAATAGGGAACGGCGGTGTAATCGAGGACGTAAAACCGCCGAGTTGGTGGGTCACGATTGGACGGAGTCGTGTGGCCAACCGTCACGAACCGGATCCAGTGCGTGGCGGCCGCGTGGATCCTGCGCACCAACCAACCCACGCCACAAGCGCCACTTTCAGCTTTCTTCAATTCTTCCAATTGCCAACATCCTTTGCTCTTCTTTTTTGGGGGCATTTTTCCCAATGAAAATTATAAACTCGGTTCTTGTGGCTCATTTAAAATTTGTTGATTCGGTCACCTGATTTTAAAATTTAACGAAAAGTTCAGAGTTTATGTTAAGTGGAAAAGGGAACAAAATAAGACAGTAAGAAATGATTTAAAGACGATAAGTAAGTTTAGCCTAACTATATAAATGAAATTAAAATTTTTCAAATAATAAGATTCGAATTGAACTAATAAAGTTTAATCAAGATGAAATATACATTGATGTATCTTATCATCTTTGTAATTGCTAAGTCGTGTGCTGATAAATTTTTTAGTTCAAATAAGGTGAAGTGATAGTTCAAGTATCTGGTTTTTCATTTAAACAAACTTTTTACTTGACTATATTATCAAACACCATAAAATTTTTAAATCGCTCTTCACCCCTCCAAAACTCATTCCTAAAATAATGTGAGACTTTACATTTATTTAATTATATATGTGATTTAAAACGTGTTTATTAAGAAGGGGTTTTTTTTTTTTTAATTCAGTAACAAACAGGTGGGTTGTTACAAATAATTGGAAAAACATTACATAAAAAGAATTGAAAAAGGAGAGGAAGAAAAAATGAACAGGCTGTCAAATATGACGGTTTATCCACTGCCACTTCCATTTGTTTTTTGAGCAATTTTTGGTGGGTTTGTATTGTATATACTTTTCTTATATAAAACAAAGAGTCAAAGACAGTGCCAAATTTACAAAACTTTATATTATATGAACACTCTCACTACCACAATTCTGATCTGATCTGATACCCCTTCTCTTTTGTAAATTACTCCACTTTATTTTGCACTAAAGACCAAAAGCTTATCCTCTCAGCACATTTTACCTCTTTTACCCCTGCCCGCCACTAATTCTTGTGTTTCTCTTCGTTAAGAGTGTGTTTCGGAGTGACGGTAGAATGATTGATTTTATAATTGATTTTTCAATATCACCGTGCAAATGATACATTAAAAATCAATTTAATGTGGTTTTAAATTTTTCTAAAATCAATTTTTTTAATTTGCAAAACATGACTACAAAAAAGAAGTGATTTTGACCGTGGAAGAGTAATTTTAGCGGTCGAATTAAAATCACTCCCAAACGCTATCATAAATATAGCCATCGATATATTCTCGTCACTCCCACGAACATGGTTTTAGATGGGTCAATATATGATTTTAACTCTCTAAATATACTCGAAGTAAAAAAAAAAAAAAAATCTCTAAATATACTCTTACAAAAAACCATATTGGCCACTAAGTTTCAAAAAGCAATCATTTTCAATCCTCTTAATACTCGCTTAGGTCAACCTAATTATATGGCTCAAATGCATACCTACCTTGACACATTAATAAATATATTCAAGTTATGCTATCATTTTATTGAAAGAAAAATTACATGACCAAAATGATTTATTTTCTAAAAGTTCAAAAGATTAAAATAAACATTTTGACTATGAAATAAATTGGTATCTTAGTATGAACTTTTTCCAAAAAAATATTTTTAAGGTGGTGAGAATTTTCAATCAAATTGTGTGTTGCTTTTGAAAATTCAAACTGAAATAAATAATAGCGTTGATTTCATGGATTTGACTTCTTTGAGGATAATTATCCTTTATTAAAGAAGAGACTTCTTCCTTTTCAACTTTGTTCGGTGATTACATTAGAATAATAAAATAATAAAAAGTCCCCAAAAGTATTATTTACTTATATCATAAAATTTAACATTTGACACATTCATCTCATCGTGAAACTATATCTTTTAAATTCAAGACTAGATTATCAACTTTATCTCGTAGCTAAAAAGTTTCATATTTGACAATATTTTTAGACACATTTACCTCATTCTAAAACAATAGCAATCATTTTTTCTCTTTAAGTCAACTATAGTAGTCTTTTTTTTTAATTCTTATTTTTATTTATGACTTCTTTTTAAGTACTTCCTTATAAAAAATGAATTCACTTCTTCATATATTAAAAATGAGATAACTAGTTAGTTAGATGATTATTTTTTTGGATATATTTATCCTTCATATAATTTTAAATTTTAAAACTTATCCTTAACAATAATAGTATATACTTTATTTATTTTTATTAAAAGTAAAATCAATCCCATTAAATTAAAAAGGTTCTTGACATTTTAATAAAATTTTAAAAATAGGAAAGCTTTTCTTTAAAATTTATGTTATATTTTAAAAATTGACTAAGATTTAAAAAATAGCCTTTAAAACAAAACGTGAAATTGCTATCAAATAAAGTCTTTAGAACATATGTTAAAAAAATAAAATTAAAATACATCACAAAGCAAGTGAAAGTTTTCAAGTTCACTAAATATTAAAAAATCAAAAAGATATTTTATTTATTTTATTATTATTATTATTATTTGTAGGGAGGCAAGTCTTGTTTTTATTTTATTTGAGAAAGGAGGCAAGTTTTATTGGGTGCAAAATTGCCAGCCTATTTGAGCTTATCTTGGACTTTTCCTTTTTCTTTAATTTACTTTGGTTTGGCTTCTTTAAATATTGTGATACATAAAGATAAGACAACTTTTAAATAAGGGTACACACGTGCACCAATGTAAATAAATCCAGACATCCTTCATGGATGAGTTTCTTTTTTTTTTTTTCTTTTTCTTTTAGATCAATAAAGTATCTCAAAATAATATATATATATATAGGTGAATCTAGATCAATAACATAATTAAAGAAACCGACAGAAACATTGTACAACTGGTCAAAATATTAGTAATTTGTATAATATCAAAATCTATCGAAAACGTTTTAAAATTTTCAGTTATACTCATGTAATGTAAACAACTCTTAAGTCTATTTTAACTTTTATTAGTTCATGAGAAAATTGGTGAGGTCTTTTAAAAACTTCATAGAATGAAATGAATGATCAGCAGAAAAAATACTTTCTAGGTTTTTCTGTGTCTCTATAACAAATGGTCCATTTATTTATTTATTGAGGGGCGAAAAATGGGGATTGAACCCGCGTGGGGTGGATTTGATCCACTTGACTACATCCGCTCGCCCCTACCTTGCACAGACCTATATTCTGATAAAAAATTATTATCTTGAAAATTTTTCTAACCCTGGATGACAATCTGACATATCATGGCTAAATCCTAAGATTATTTTTTTTAATTTTATAAGTGGTTTAAAGTTTGAAAAATCTAATGAAAAATGATAGATTGATCATATGTATTGAATTTAGTCGATATGGTTTGTCTTGGAACAAATAATGTTATAATTTTTTCATTTAATATTATATTGATTAATTGACAACACACGTCAATATGGAAAGATTCTCAATTATCCAACGACTCTGTGCACTCAACAAAAATGTAGGATGAGGTCAAAATAAAAAAGTTTACACTTATTTTATACAAATAACTTTTCAAATAGTAGAATAATCTACCATAAGATAACCAAGTTTTTATACTTATTTTATTTGAATAACTTTTCAAATAGTAGGATAATCGACCATAAGACAACGAAGTTCATATTTATTTCATATAAATAACTTCTCAAAGAGTAGAATAATCTATTTCAGATATTAATTCAAGTTGGTTTAAAAAAAAAAGATAAATTCACGTCCATTTTGAATTAGAGTTAAGAGTCGATATATATTTTATGTCTAATCAAATTGGTTGAGTTAAAATCATTTTAATTTAACTAATGAACTCAACCATCTAATATAAAAATTGGATAAGATTTATTGGACTTATTAATAGAAATCTCCCTAACATTAAAAAAAAAATCATGAGAATAGAGAATAAAAATTGATTTTAGA